TATGAGCTATATGTCATCAAAGACCTTCGAGTTCGATTCATTCAGCTCATAGGCATATCAAACGCATGGTAGCAACAAGGAACTACCTTCTGGAAGAATTTTCAAGCCGAATCTTCAAACCAAGAAGAAGACCAAGCCCAATTCTAGGCTCAGGCTAAAGCCCAATTACAGTTACTCCCCAACAAATGTATCAAGTCTCAAACAAAAAAGTATCGGACAAAAACTGGTTGTCTTTTTCGTCTTTGCCCTATTCTTGTTAACACAAGAATGTGCAAAGAGGGGCAGCTGTAGACCCATATTTTGTCCTCATCCCAGCAGCCCATACCTCACCCAGCCTGGCCACCAAGCCTCCACTAGTCCTTGTCTGCCTCCACTAGTCCTTGTCTCCCTCCACTCACAATAAAAAAATTGCATATGATATTGTATTTAAATCAACAAGTGTATGATTAGTTTATTATGTTAAATCTGTAAATGGCTATAATAGCCGGATGAAGTTGTACATGGAAGGAGGGGGGATTCCAGACGTTTTTTTTTAGAAGCAATAACTACTAGATTGAAGGTTTTTTCTATTTTTTATTACAGTTTCTTTATTTTTATTATTATTTTTTTTGATTTTCTGTTTTGAATTTTTAATAGTTTTTATTTATATTTTTCAATAGTTTTTTATTATTATTTTCGAAATAGTATGTCATTTTAGGTGTTATAAATACTAATATATTCACACATATCTGAAATTAAAAAGTAATCGAATGTTTTTATTTATTTATTTTAAACCTAATCGACCCAACTAATAGCATAAAATAATATATAAAAAATAAAAAGAGAGTCGAAAACTTACCTTTGTCGAAGGAGTGTCGTCAGGTGGGAAGATTCGAACTAAATTTTAAGGGATTTTCTCCCCATTTTTCTCAATAAAATCAAGGCAACTAAACGAATTTCAGATATGAAAACAAAAATAAAGAAATAAGGAGAGATGGGGGTTCTGGAGATCCACGGAAAATAGAATTTAGGGGAAGGAGTTGCTTTTATTTTAATTTTGGGAAAACCACAAGTTAACTCCTCCTTATTTCATAGCTTTTTGTGTTCTAGTCACTAATTTTAGTTTAATACTATTTAGATCCCTTTCTTTTCCATGTGTTACATTTAAATCATTATATATAGGGTCAAATCACTCCTAAGTCCCCCTAGTCTAACCATATTTTAATATTATGGTCATTATGCTTTCGAATACTTTATTTTAGTCATTATTTTACATTTGGCTTAATTATTGTTTGGTCTTTTAATTTTTTTTGTTTCGCTATTTTAATATTTTAAATTTCTATTTTTATTTAATTTTTTTTTTGCAGCTTATTCCTAGAATTAATTTGATCCATGAATTTTAATCCTTTCCAATTTAATTTTTTTTTATTCGAATTTTCCTTTATTCTTTTTTATTTACTCTTTTTTTATTTCGATTTTAATACTAACTCTTTGTGTTTGTTTGTTTTAGTTTTTACTTTATTGATCTTTTTAGGATAATTTTAATCAATCAAAGGTAAGTAATTTGAATCGAACTTTTAAATTTTAATTTTTGCAATTAAGACAACCGATAAATTAAATGGTACCGAAAGGACAGTTCAAGGGTGCTAATCCTTCCTTGACTGTAACCGACTCCCGACCCTACATATTCTGGTAAAATGCAGATCAGGTAATATGGTATCCGATCAACCTAAATATTTTTTTTAAATGATCGGTGGCGACTCCTAATATTTTATTTAAGTCGAAGCCCAATTCCGGACCCCCGAAAGGCGGTCGCGACACTATGATTTTGGTTATGGTTTTGTAGAGCACTGTATAGGCTGATTGGTAGAAATTGGTTCATTCTTTCTGGTCTTGTGACTTTCGGCAGTAGTACTAGCAGTGTTTGATTTATTTCTGGTCTGTGACTTCGGCAGTAGTACTAGCAGTGTTTGATTTATTTGTTCCGGCACTACTCCCTCCTTAAATATCTTCCGAATCATTCACAAACCGATTTGCCAACTAAGCTCCAATTATTTGATAAAAATTGCTGAAAACCGTCACCCCAGGTGCTTTAAGTGGCCCATTCCAAAACTTGCTTCCTTTATTCTCGTCCGTTACTGCCATTGTGAGCTTATCCCGTTCATTTGTGTTGAGTTTGAGAAATTGCTCTTATCTCATAGTCATCACTGCTTGTCCCATTACTTGTGAACAGCGTGGAGTAGAATTGATTGCCATTTCCATGAGTTCATCCTGGTCAGTGCTCCATGTGCCGTCTTCTCGTTTCAAGGTTGAAATTGTATTGGTTCTTCTTTGATGCATGGAAGAAGGCTGTGTTACGATCCCCTTAAGGATCCATTGAGCGCAAGCATTTTGTCGCCAAAGGCTCTCTTACTGTTCCAGAACCGATTCTAGTTCCGTGTAGTTGATCTCTGAGTTCTATTAAAAAATCTGAATGAGCTTTATTGAGTGTGAAGTCTATTCCTCGTATGCGTGTCAGGAGATTTCTTTTCTTCTTCATAATATGTCCAAATATGTTGGAATTCCATGCTCCAATTTTAGTTTGAAAATTTTAATGTTTTCCTCCAGCTTTCCATTTTCCTGCCATATTGATTTGATAAATTCATTGAACTTGGGGCGATCCTGCCAAGCGGCCAAGAACCGGAAGAGGCGTTGGTGTGGATTTTTCATCTCCTGTGTGGGTTTGAGCAGAAGTTGTCTGTGGTCTGATCCCAGATGATCTAGATGAAGTACCTGTGAGTTTGGGAATGTTGTTATCCAACCGATATTTTCCAGGAAACGATCCAAGCATTGTTGTAGATTCCCCCGCGACCATGTGAATTGCGGACCATGATATCCTAGGTCCACCACTCTGGTAGAGTGAATGAATTCCGCAAACGGTCTGCTTCCGTTTGTATGATTTGGTGACCCTCCCCTTCTATCGTCTGCAATTAAAATGACATTGAAATCACCCCCTAATATCCAAGGTACATTGTCTTCCGGATTCAAGGCTTCCAGTTGTGTCCAGATTTGTTTCCTCTTGGAGCAATTTGGATTCGCGTAGACTGCTGTAAACTGTGCCCAGCTATCAGGTTCCTTATATTTGATTTTCCCGTTAATGAATTGGTTTGAAATGTGTGTAACTTCCACCTATACCTCTTCGTCCCATAATATCCAAATTCCACCTCCAAAACCATGCGCTTCTATGCGGAAGATTGTGAATATCCCATCTTGTTAATTACTTTGTCGGCTCTTTTACCACTCACCCGAGTTTCAAATAGCGCTGCCACTTTCGGTTTGTGTTCCCGAACAAATGACTTAAAATGTCTTCTGGAGGTTGGGCTAGTAGCCCCTTGACAATTCCAAAATATGACGTTGGTCATTTTAAAAGATTGAAGATGGAGGTTTACGAGCCTTACTGCTCGACTGGTAATCTAGACCCCTCCGAGTCCCTAACCATGTCATTGCTGCCTCTGTGAAATTCTGTCTTTTCATTACTTACAGGCATGTTTGTATTGCTTGGATCATACAGTTCCATACACCGTGAGTCACACTCCACTCGTGTTGATAACTGCTTCGAAGCAGTTTGTACCCATTCCGTCATTCTCATATTGTTAGCTGGTTTAGTTGTGGTTTGTTTCTTCACTTTTAATCCTTTTCGGGTAATTTCTTTACCCACTTTACTCGTGCCAGCCTTTGTTGCAGCTAGCCTTTCTCCCTACGTAGGTTTGTTCTCCATGCTTGGTTCATTAATAGTTATGGCCATGTGTTTCCCATTACCATTTGTTGTTGAACGTTTTACTGTTTCAGCATTCTGTCCCACTACCATTGGAATAACATCGACTTGGTATCCTGTCTTGTTCGGTTCCTGTGTTCTCATGCTCGATTTTGGAGTCATCTTAGAGTTGCGTTTTGGTGTCCCTGCTTGTGTTTCTGCTAAGCCTTGGAACTGCTCCCGCATGTCCTTTGTGGTTTCATGTGCGTAAATGCTAATTTCAGCCCTACTTTCCTCTCCTTCTGCTTTATCACCATTCCCGTTATCCTCCCCCCTTAGAACAGCGAATCTTGAACCTCTAGTGCTCCCTCTTTCCTTTCCAGTATCCTTTCCTGATTTGGTCGATGCAGTGGTTCTCCTCCTACGATTCTCAACAACCATCCATGGGCCAAATATGGTGGAATTTGTGGTTGATGATTGATTTTGCCCCTCACCTCTTCCATCTCCGTTCTCATTTAGTATTTGCTTCATGTGCTAGGAATGTTGTGCATTGTTCTTTCGAGTGCCCGTAAACACCACAGTGGAAACAAATCTGTTGTAAACCTTTCGTATTCTAGTTTTTGTGTGAAACCATCTATTCCAATGCATGGAATAAGTGGTTGGTTCAGATCAACCAATACTGCAAGTCTTGCAAATTTCCGCCCTTTTCCTGCCTGGGTGTTATAGTCGATTTTGATTACTTTTCCAACTAATGTGGCAATTAATCGGAACAGAGCTTTTGTGTAGTACTTATAAGGTAATCCTGGCAGTCTTATCCATATGATCACATGATGGGTGCTTTTCGGACATTGAAAACGATCTGTTCCATGGTTGGACTGTAGGATAACTTCCATAAATTGTCCATGTTCCCTCTGTCAGTACTTTGGTGTAATCCTTTTCATCCGCAAATTTGGCTAGAAAATAGTTGTTTTCTAGATCGATCAATTGAATTTCTCCGAGCGGTTGTCATAGCGCATTGATTCGGTTCAGCAGTGTCTTAAACTTAAATTTAAATTTTCAATGAAATCAATATTACATTAAAGCAATTATCTCATTAAAAAGAAGGATGTTGATGATTTTATTATAATCGGATCAGATGTTGATGAAGTAATAATACTATATTACGATTTTGATCATAATTGCGATTACAATATGGTGTGCAATAATGAATGTTTCGGACGTTACGATGTGATTTAATTTTTAAAAATCAATATGCTTTTACTGATGTAACAGAGGCACATGAACATTATAATAATTCGCTGTTGAAACTAAAAGCTGGAGACCTAAAACCAAGTTTTATGGCAAGCATGTTTAATCGGCAAAGGCGGGTCAGTAAATGAACCATTGAGTATACGACGAGCAATCCAATGATTAGCAGCCTCGGAGTAGTGGACACCATCCCAGCTGATGTATTCCCAAGGGTTTTCACAAGACCCCGCGTAGATTTCAGTTCCATTTACGTTCTGCTTTTTGCCGCAATATACTTTAACCTCATCTTCATGGTATCCGCAGCAAATATTTGCAGCATCAACGAACCCTTCCCTTTTCGCATTGCCAATCAGCTCATACTTTGCGGCATAAATATCGACATAAGTGAGGGCGGCATCCGGTAACTCTGCTCTGAGTTTGATCACTCTATCCTTAAGCTTCGCGTTGAACTCCTTGCAATAGGCATTTTGAGCTTTGAGACAGCCCTGCTCGTCGAGTTCTTCGGGTCGAATATCGTGATAATGGAGGCTTACAGGCAAGCAACCAATGGGACCTGTGTTATGTATCCAGAATGTCCTTGCTCCTTGCTCATACAGATTCTGTTTGATTATAAACAGTTGATTTTAGTACGATTTTGTGTCGATGCAAGTACTTTTATTTTGAAATGAAGATTGGGACTTACTTGAACTGCTTTAGCCAGCCGTTCAACTATATCCGGGACTGATGCATGGAAATCTGTATCATTCTTCTTCCTCAAACCAGCAGCAATGTCATTTTGGCCAATGTCAAATATATATAGGGCTTTGGAGAAGTCATTAGGTCTTGGGAGATCACGGCGATGTCCGGCGTTACCGTGCTCGTAGAAATAGCCAGTTCGAATCTTGAAATTGTCAAACTGTACGATCTGAACATCAAGGGAGAATGGACTCACCCCGTTTAACATCATCGATTCATTTTGTGGCCTAATGGTTGATCCCCCAATAGCGAAATTAGCACCGTGTCGGAAACTCGTTCCGATGGAATCCAAGTACGGACTCAAGTAAGGCAGTCCAAGATGTTCAGCTGCAAACATGAACAAAAAACGTTAACAAAAGAACCTCAAATCACTGAAATGCACAGAGAGTGACTCGAGATGGTTTTTCACCGATAAAATCGATTATAAGACGTCCGTCACTGGCACGTCCGACCGGCCTACCAAAGAAAGTCTCGCCCGGTGGTAGTCCGGCTATCCAAAACGCAGCCGACCCACCACCAGTATCAGAATTGGAATCACCAAAGTGATAAAGTGCTCTAAAATTGCAGGTTTTCAAACCCTTCAACCCCACACTTCCCACACTCAAAACTGAAAAAGCAACAATAGTAAAAATAATCAACACTTTCACATTCTCCATAGGATCAAAACAGAGTTATGAACATCCAAAGGATTAGTTTGCATAATATATACAGTGGTATCCTCGTCAAGTTTCCAACAATAGGACCGTTCATGTTATATTATTTTATAAATCACGTGTTGCGTGCAAACAAACAGCTGCATATATTATATTATATTATCGCTTAAAACCTGACAATACGTGAAGTATTGCCATTATTTTTTCTTCGATAAAGAATTTTATTCTACTCTGTAAACCAATATTATATTACAAGGTACTGGACACCATGACGATTGGACGATTGGTGAAGCATTGTTATGTATGTATGCATTTTCTAGTATTATAATCATATTTAAAAGTTATATGGTTGGACTAAAGTAAGGATCGTTTTCTTTTTCTTCATTTGGATAATTTTTTATTTAACTTTGGCAAAGCTAGGAAATTGAACTTTTATTATTTTCTTCTATAATATTAAATTTTTATTTACCATAATTGAGAGAAAGGTAAGAAACGTTCTCTTAATCTATTGACAACACATATATATTTTGTAAATTTGATTATTCAAATTCGAATCTTATAAAAAAAAATATTTTTTAATTAATAAGGTCACTCAATAGGTTTTTGTTTATATTCTAATTCAAATATATATTAAATATTTAAATTTAATCATATATTAATTCTAAGATAATTTCTTTAATTTTACTTAAAATAAATAAAAAATATTGAAAAATAAATAGATTAAATTACATTTATGTTAGTAATAAATATCCTTGGAAAATTTTGAAATTATTAAAGTTGTATTTTATATGATAAGGGTAATTCTTTAATCCAAACCTTATGTAATACAATGATTTGAATATTTTAACTTTAAAAATAATCAAGTATAAGTTTTTAAAATAAACCAACTTAATGTTTTTATATTGAGTAATAAGAAATAGTCTATTGTACCCAAAAAATAGTCTATTAATTTATCTTATTTAATATTTAAACACATTCTAATTTATAAATTCTATTATATTAAAATAATAAATATATCAATTAACTTTGTTGAAGTGTATAATTTGATCTCGTCGATCGTTGACGGTTCACTCCTTTTGTTTGATGGGAGAGTTACAGTCAATGAAAGAATGCTCGTTCGTCTATATCTTTCTATGGGAGTTTGAAGGAGAAAAATCGTGTGAAAGAGAAGATAACATATTGGAGAAGACAAATAATGTATATGAGGTCTCGAAGAGAAATATCTCATCTTCAGTCTTTTATTGGGGTATAAATACCACTTATCCCTTTACTGGCGTAAAGACACATATGTTCATTGTCTTGACGATATCACCATCATATGTTTGACTCCAATCGCCCTATAACATGGATATTTATATTTCGAATAAAAATTAAAGATGGAATCTCTCTTTCGGACCTCATCTTCATAATTTGTCTTCTCCAATACATTATCTTCTCTCTCATGTGATTTTCCCCTTCAAACTTTCACAGAAAGATAATAGGAACAATTGTTCTCTCATTGATCACGATTTTCCATCCAAATCGAAGAAAAAAAATGAACTATCAAGTATTAACAATCAACTAAATCAAATTATTTCCATTAACAAAATTAAAAGTCAACGAAATTGAGTTATGTTATTTGATTAGTAACATATCATTTAAATGAATAGACACATACACACTTAATAATACCTATTTACATGATCACAATAATTCATTCATAACTAAGGGTGCGTTTGGTTCACGGAATGTAAGATTACCAGTGGGAATAAAAGATTGCCAGGGAATAAGATTACTGAGAATGTTGTATTTTGTGTTTGGTTAGTTTAGCAGGAATGCAAGATTACCGTGTTTGGTTAAAGGAATAAAAAATTATTGGAATGTATATTTGACCAAATTGTCCTTATTATATATTTGTTTTTTTAACAAGTTGGAAAATATTTATATATATTTTCTTTAAAAAAAATTAAATTCATAATATTTATATATTTTTTTTACAAAATTGAAAATATAAAAAGGTTCAATGAAAGGGTAACATTTTATTTTAACCCCTGAAATTCATATAAAATTTTAATTATAGATTTTTTTGTAAATATAAAATAGTTTAAGGATAAATTTATAATTTAACATTCGTAGAATTTTTATTATTCAATGACAGAAGAAGGATATTTTTGAGAGAAAAAAATTAAGGGCATTTTAGTTCAAACGTCGGTAATCCAACAATACCTAAGGGAATGGAGGTAATGACATTCCCGGTAATATACAAAAAAAAATCCACTATTAGTAATAAAACATTACTGATAATGACATTTCCGACAAACCAAACAGGAAAATATGGATTATATTCCCATGGAAATCCCACATTCCTTAAATCAAACAGCCCGTAAAGTCCAATGTACAAGTCATTGAGTTTTTGATAGGGTACTCAACCCATTCCAACACGTTATGAATAAGACTTGGATCTCGCTGCACCAGCAGCCAAGCAACCTATGATCACATGAGATGCAACCCAGATCACATGTCGCTCATTAGAAAGGAAAATAAAAACAGAATTAAGTATTTACCATAAAAGGACAGTCCATATTTGGCTCCATTAACTTCATTTTCCAAACGTCTTTTTACTTGAATATCACCATTCAAAATTTGTATCTAATCCATTGATGACAAATCTAAATCAGATTTTACATTGATCCATTATAACGTTGACATTCTCAATATAATTATATTTAAAACAACACATTAAACACTATATTTATCTCAATTTCTATTTTTTATTTTAATCTTTAGATTTCAATTTTTTTTCAATTTAGTCCTGATAATGAAATAATAATAACTTGGTGCCATGTAACCCAAGGACCCGTCCTCTCAAACGTGACTTCTAAAAAGTGTGGATGACAGAACACAGCTTTATAGTATGTTAAAAAATACCATTCTAAAAATTAATCAGAAACAAATCTGAGTTTAAAAATAATTTTCTAATAATGATATTTAAATGAAAACACCTTTTTCAAAACTACTGATAATTATATAATTTCAAACATTTCCAAAATCATTTAAGACACTTAATGGAACTCTTTTTGGTTGTGTATATACAACAAATTGTATTTATCATGTATAATTTTTTAAGATTTTAAATTCGAATAGTTGTATCTATAAAGTGTATATTATCAATGCTTTTAAAAAATTATTTAAAAATTTATAAATATACGTTACATTATAAACACTCTAAATTATTAAAAAAAAATTCGAATGAGATTTACTAAGAATGGTAAACTGGGATATAATCTGGTGGCCCAAAGTGTCAGGGCTGAAGAGGGTGCAACCGTGCCCTAGGTGCAAGCAGTAGTCCCGACGGTCAGCCTAACTAAACACACTGTTGGCCCATTAAACTACAATCTTCAATTCAACGACGATGATTCTCGGGGTTTCGTTTTTCTATTGGAATTGAATCCCTTCCCCGGTATTTGTCTTCTAATAAAGATTCATTTTTTCCTCGTGGGCTTGTTTATTTTCCGCGATTCTGTAGGAAAGTATAAAACTTTTTTTTCAGCGGTAGAAGATGAGTAACCCATCAACAGGAGCCTCTTCAAAATCAAAAGTTGGGTCTTCACAGCCTTCAGAAACTTCATTCAAGCGCAAAAGAGGAGTTTTCCAAAAAGACTGTAAACACCAATTTGTTCTTCCTTTATATAATTTTCCTGCGAAACTTCTTTTGATTTCTTGTTATTTTTCATTTAATAAATTTACATTTTTCTAAATTTTGTTTCTTGTTACAGTGCAACATATGATGTATGGTTTTGGAGATGATTCCAATGTAAGTATCCTTTAGAAATTCAACACTGAACCCTTTTCATCACTTAAAATTTGTTTCTTTTTCGACCACACTTTTTATGGATCGAGATGGAGATGTGAATCAAAACAAGAAAAAGGTATTGACCCTTTTGTATGCTTTCTAACCCTTGTTGATCACCTGGGACTGTTTCTAATGTAGCAATGCTATTTGAAAAAAAGCTTAGGTGTTAAATATGTATGATGAACAAATGTCTTAATTACTTCTAAGTATTTGACATTGCTATGAAAAGCTTCTATAGAGAATTGAAATATCACAAACATATGTTAATGGTGATAAAAAGGTTTAGAGATGTGAGGATGATGAAGTTTCTCACTCAAAAGCCAACTTATGAACCATACAATTCCATTTTCTTGCATATCTGAACGTTGTCAAACCAAAGCTTTGTATTTTTCAATGCGTATGATTTCATTCTGAACTAGTAGCTATCGAATTCCTTCCCCCATGTTTCCCATGGATATTTTTTTTTACTTTTCATTCTGTGATTACTTATATTTTATTGGGTTAGTGATAATTTTGAGAAAGCTGAACGCTTTAAGTCTAGTGCGTATTTACAACCTATGCTATTCATACTTGGATGTGAGTGTTTGATATGGGTTTCTGTTTGGCATGTATATGTCCAACTATTTATGTCCGAATATGTGTTGGACATAGATACTTGAAGAAAAAAATGAAGGATCGGAATGAGATACAATTTGCAACATTGCAATGAGTTGTTCAAAAGTTTATCCTAGAAATAATGCTAATGCAAATAAGTTGTTTTAGTTATCATTGATTTTAATATGTATGTTCAAAGTTTCAACTTGCAATTGTTGTGAATTCAGCCACTTCCAGAGACTGTGGCCCTTGTGGAGGACATTGTGGTGGAATATGTAACAGATCTGGTATTTTCTTTTCCTGATTTCTATTTTTGTTTCAATGAGATGGCGTTGTTAGGAGCACGTTCTAATGTTCATATCTCCATCATCGTCTTTAGGCATATAAAGCTCAAGATATCGGATCAAAGAGAGGAAAGCTATCGGTTGAGGATTTTCTATATCTCATTCGCAAGGTAACTCACATTGTACTATATTGTTATGTACTCGGATTTGAGTTTGTGTTTATGTACAGATTTGTATCCGACATGGGTACTTTTAATATTTTCCAAGGTTTTTCATGTATTTAGGGGGTTCTTAGAGAGTTCTATTCTCATACCTACGTCCGGCTATATGTCGGACGTGAATATCGAGCATGTAGCAACATAGTTTTAATGCAGATTGTTTGCTCATGTTCTGTGCCACTTGGACTTTTGTAGCCTCTTCTATATATTTTTCCATAAATCGTTTTAACAAATATATTTGATACCATAGCCATGGGTTGAGTTACTTAGAATCGGGTGTCATGTGAGTGTCGGGTACGAGTATGTTTATCACATTGATGATGCAGGACACACCGAAACTAAATCGTTGTACGGAGTTGCTATCGATGCAAGAGGAGCTGAAGCAAGCAAGGAAGGCATTTGAGGTTGATGAAGAAAAACTGGGTACATTAGAGTAGCGTCTGGTCTGGGTGCATTCAGCCGTGTAAGAGCTTATATGGAAGTGGGAACAGAATGCTATAGATGTTGTAATCTCAAACGCTAGGTGTACTTACAATCTATGTTGTTCGGATTCGGATCAGTTTTATGAGTATATTCAATCATTCTACTATTCATATAAATCATGCATGCCAATTGCCAAATTGAGAAAATTGAAAATACATTACTATATTTTTCATATATAAAAAAATTAACAGTAAAATATATATTAATTAAAAAATATTTTAGAAAGATATGGTAACAAATATCAAATTGATTCGGTAATTAATTTACATGCATAGTAAGTATAATGATATTAATAAATTCAATAATTAGATTGTTAAAATATAAATTCAATAACTAGATTGTTAGAATATTAATAATAGAAGACCACTAGACTCCTCTAGAATTTGGTTAAAAAGAGAAGAAATATAAAATGAATTATAGTGGAAATAAAATTAATGTAATACTTAAATATCGAGGGTTAATTTGTATATATTATTATAATTTTAAAAATTTAAGTGTTAAATTTTTTATTATACTAATGTTGTTGACTGTAATATCATTTCACGTTAACTTTTTTAATAAAATTGATTGATTTATTATTTTTATATCACAAAATTATTTTGTAATTTTTTATAATTAGGATAATAAAAAGGTACTATATAGTTGGAGGATTATTTACGTGTTTGACCCTATAAATGACTTTCTTAAACGCTGTCGTTTAGTTGAATTAAAACGGACTTAATAAAGGTTACGTTTCATGCATAAGGGGACAACCACGCTCAGCAGCCACAGCAACGGCAATGGGGGAGGCAACTGAAGAAAAGAAAGGATGCGTCGGCGGGAGCAAAGAAGGGGCAAATTTGTTGGGAGGTCCGACCTTCTCGGAACTCCCAAACGGAAGGCTCAAGTGCGTTGAAACTGGGCACGAGATGGTTGTGAAAGACAAGGATTCCTATGCTCAGAGCAAACGCTGTCGTTTAGGCCTCATCGACTTTGCTTTATCTCACTCCAAGCCCCCTCTCAACATGTTCAAACAAGACCCTCTTTCCCGGTAAAAGGACCAAAACAAATCCATGCCGATTCTTTTGTGTTAATACTTTGTTCTATTTGTCTATGTTTTGGGGTTAGAAATTTGAAAATTTCCCAAAATTTTCGAGTAAAAAACTAGGGTTTTCGGATAGTTACAATTTAACCTCTAGAAATCTATATATTTTTAAGCATTTGGTCGATTACCTATGCCAAGTTTCTTTCTTGATATTCCAAATTTTCATAATAGTGAATGTTATTAGGGTGAATCCAGAGGTATAGAGCTGAGTTGAATTAAATTCAACCTGTTATAAGCTCAATTAAGTTTCATTTTCGAAACTCAAACCTGATTGTAGAAAATAACTGAGTTGTTCGAGCTTACTCGATTAAGCTTGTTTACCTAGTAAAAAGATGAGATCAATTCTTATGTTTGACTTTAAACTTTATTATTTATGCACAAGCTCGAGTTCTAGTTTGAATTGAAATTTTCGATACTGATTAAAAATAAAGAGCTCAATTAGGCCCATCGAGTTAAGCATTAAGATATTTGAATTTGGTTATTGAGCTGTTTGAGGTCGACCTCAACATAACAATGGCTGAGTCAAATTCAAATTCAAATTCAAATTCAAATTCCTTTCAAGAAAGCCTGAGTAGGTTGTGAGTATGTGTGTTTTGTTTACACCTATAGGTGAATCGTCTACCTTTGCTTAGTTTCATCATTCATGTGTTTTCTGCTAATATGATTGATTCTGAGTTTCTATTCGATTGTTTATCAGTTCGAAGTTGATTTGTAAACTAACTGGTCATACCGTTAATAAGTCTGAGGAACATATTTGGAAGCATATCAATGGGAAACGATTTCTCAATAAATTAGGTTCGAATCTTGCTCTCTGGCTAATTAGATGAAGTGGCTTTTTTTGTGTCATTTATTGGTAAATTATTGTGAACAGAACAAAAGGAAATGGAGACGGTGCTAACCGATGAAACCATGGCTGAGGAAGGTGAGAAGAAGCCAAAGAAAGAAAAAAAGAAGCAGAAGAAGAAGAAGGAAAAGGTGGTTGAAGAAATTATCTCTGAAGTTAGGGATTCAGTTGAAAATGAAAGTGATTCCGAGGAACATGAGTTCTGGATTCCTCCCGTAGGCGACCGTTGGGACTTTGATGACGGAGGGGATCGATGGGGTTCTGGTTCAGAGCCAGATGAAAGTGATGATGAAGACGAAGCAGGTGCAATTGGCCTCTTATTGTGCAGATACAATTTTTTAAAAAAAATCTACACTCAATAGTTTATATCCTATTATAATAATTTTTTTTTTGATAGAAATCCTATTATAATAATTTGCAGCATGAATTTTGGAATAGAAGGCATTTAACATGAACTTACACTAGAGGGCAGTACGGAATGTAGATGAATGATGAATAAAGTCGAGTTCCGTAATTGATTTATCTCATGAATTTCACTTGGCTTTCAGCCAAGTTTATTGATATCAAAAACCGGTTTTATTGTAAGGCTATCATATTAGAGAGCTTCTTTGCCTAAATCATATAAAAAAATATGTTGCCATTGTAAACTATCAAACTCAGATCATTCATCCGGGAATCCTGCATTTAAAAAACTGAATTCAGTGCTGGGAGTAGATGTTATGTGTGTGTGCTAAGTTCTTTGATTCATATTTCTTAATAAATTGTTACAATTTTTTCGGGTAATGTGAGCATAGAACAATTGAAACAAATATTTTTACAAGCATAGTTTGTTTTCATTGCACTTGGGATTAAAAATCTGGTTTCTTTCATCTGCCATGAGCAAATTTCGAATATTATGTCAAACTATCTGATTTTATGTCTGATCTCATAATTTCGATGTATTTCTTCCATCAGAGGACGTAGCCAAAGAATCCGGGAAGGAGTCCAAAGAGCTTTCTACACGGTATAATGCTTTGTTTTATCTTGTTTATAATCATCCTATACATCCATCATCTCTGTAGAACAATTGGTTTTTTCCTGTTTCACATCAATGCATTGTGAATCAGTATTATTTTGGGATTATTTAGTTCTCTCTTGTTGTAGAGCAAAGAGAATGTCCATAGATATTGGACCGAGCAGTTTTGCATCGAGGAAGAAGAAGAGTCGGAAGAACACAAGCTAAGTTGCACTTATGCCTTCTAAAAACAAGTAATTTGCTTGTAATTCGTCAACTGTTCTTTCGGTTTTTGTTTGCAATTCTAAGTAGCAGTTCCTCTGAATCTTAGAGGTCACATTTTGAGGCTGATTACATGAACAAACTCCAGGGTTATGTTTCTCTCTATAAACTATAAAGCACATACATTTCTTGCAGAGAACTGACCAAGTGTCGGTTACAAGTCGTAATTTCTTTTATTGCCGGTTCGAGTTGTGTCGTACTTGTATCATGTAGCCTCACCCTTGCTTTCTGGGTTCATCTCTTCCTCACAATGGTCAAGAACTTTGTGAAGTTTAGAACAATGGTGTTTTGATGACACAACAATTTTACAGCAGTAGCTGAAAAATATTATTCGCATTTGCATCTGGAAGAGACGACCAACCGACCTATGAATAGTAAACCGGATCCAAAGTCAAACCGGTTCAATTAATTTTTAAACTTGCCATTCAAATCCATTATATTATTGCAAATAATATCCAAATCTATTATCAAATTTACTTTTCAATTTATATCAATAATAAAGTTATTTATAATAAGTTATTAATATATATTTAAGTAGAGAATTTTTTGATTGAGTTTTTTGTCATCAGAATTTTTTGATTGAGTTTTTGTCATCAAATAATTTAAGAAAAGAAAAGAAAACTAATTTTTTAGAACAATATCAAACCCATCTTTGTCTTTTAGTTTTTATATACTCATGATCATTTAATTACGAGTACATTTTTCCTCGAGTGATCTGGATTGATTCATATCGTACACTTAATTTTAGTGAGTCTCTCAATGAGAAATTTCTGCATACAAAAGGCTTTGAATTCGAGACCTGTTTAAGTAATATTAAGTTGTTTATCACTTAAATCAACCCTAATTGATTTAATTACGAGTATATTTTAATATAATCATTTAATTACGAGTACATTTTTCCCCCGAGTGATCTGGATTGATTCATATCGTACACTTAATTTTAGTGAGTCTCTCAATGAGAAATTTCTGCTTACAAAAGGCTTTGAATTCGAGACCTGTTTAAGTAATATTAAGTTGTTTATCACTTAAATCAACCCTAATTGATTTAATTACGAGTATATTTTAATATGATCATTTAATTACGAGTACATTTTTTTCCCGAGTGATCTGGATTGATTCATATCGTACACTTAATTTTAGTGAGTCTCTCAATGAGAAATTTATGCATACAAAAGGCTTTGAATTCGAGACATGTTTAAGTAATATTAAGTTGTTTATCACTTAAATCAACCCTAATTGATTTAATTACGAGTATATTTTAATATGATCATTTGATCTTTTAATTTTATCAATAAGAACACTTAATCATCTTCATGATATCAATCAAATTATTTATCGTTAATATTTGACAAGAAAAAGATATGACAATTAATAACTTTATATAATTATATATCTAATCTTTTGGAGAGTATAAACACATTTAAACAAAAATAATTTGATGAAGAATATTTTATACACATGCCTTATTTAAGCGTAATATAATCCATTTTGAGTAATTATTTTAGTAGACTGATAAGAGAATTGACTCTATAAGTAATTTTAATAAATATTTAAGTAAATAATTAAGAAGTATAAATATAGATATATTCAGCCGAGGTATTGATCCACTTGAGCTTGGCCCAAAGTTCCTCAAACACTTCATTATCCAAACGCACCGTTTTCCCCCAATCATAACACAAATAGAAAATTTGTAGATTAGAAAACTAGGGTTTTTGGAGCGAAGCATAGCTAAAGAAGAAACCTTTACTGTTCTTCACTATGTTATCACCAATGAAGTTCTTCTTTCGATCCATTTCCGGTAAAAGTTTCAAAACTTTACAGATGCCCAGTTCTTCCACTTGCGAGGTTGAACGAACCGATTGCTTATCTCGTTTCGTTCCTTGTATTTGTTGTTGTTGAAAACAGGTCCCAACAGGACACTGCTTCGAGCACTGGGTCGCCGCCAGTTTTCGGATTTAACTGCAGAAAAAGCCAAGCGGAATTATGCTGACAATGTCTCCGAGTACAACACTGTCCTCACTTCTCTCAATACCAGACGAAGGTCCCGTCTTTTAACTTGTTACTTTGTCTTGATCTTATTTGATGTCTTTGTTTATAAATGGCGTAGTTTTTGCTTTACACTTTTGTTTTTAATTTCAGAAACATAAAGAAAAACAGTTGGTTTTGATGCAAACCACATAATATTTTAGGAAAAAATTAGAATTTGAAGAGTTTTACTTTGCATTTAGATAATTCAATCATTTTGCTTTTGTAGTAAACGCCTTTTATTTATTTATTCGCAATTGATCAATTATGTGGTTGTAGAGATCGAATTTTGTCCGGCTTAAGTTATTTGATTTCTATCCGTTGATTCAGCTTTGGTCAAAATGGGGCATGCTCTTAGAAGATTTCTTCTCATTTTTAACATTGTCTATATGTGAAAAACTGTTATATAATATGACAATGGTTTTCCTTCATAGAAATTTTTAAGGAAGCAAAAGATTAGAAAAACAAACTACAGCCTTATTTGTTTGTGAATTTGGTATGGTGGTGCAGGCATTATCTGTTGAGGGATGTTTATGATGATATGGTGCTGGATGGAGGCTTAAGTTATTTGATTTCTATCCGTTGATTCAGCTTTGGTCAAAATGGGGCATGCTCTTAGAAGATTTCTTCTCATTTTTAACATTGTCTATATGTGAAAAACTGTTATATAATATGACAATGGTTTTCCTTCATAGAAATTTTTAAGGAAGCAAAAGATTAGAAAAACAAACTACAGCCTTATTTGTTTGTGAATTTGGTATGGTGGTGCAGGCATTATCTGTTGAGGGATGTTTATGATGATATGGTGCTGGATGGAGTGCAGCCAACTAGAGATACTTTTGAGGCTTTGATTATGGGAACCATGAGAGGGTCACGCATGCAAGACGCACTCTTTTTCAGAGATGAAATGAAGGCCATGGGATTAGTCCCTGAGGTATTTTATGTTCTTTTTGTTCCTAACTAGTCTTTGCAGTAATTGGCTATGTTGGGCTTAGGAGTGACTGTCAGACACGACTATATGTCTGACATGGGTATCTTCATTTTTTCCCCAAAAGTTTTATGGTTGGAGAATTTTTATATGGGCATTTTAGGAAAAATGAATTGTTGGTGCAAAATTGGTTATTGGTTCCAGTTTTAGTATTCAATTTTATCATATCAAATTTGGGTATTAATTATTCATCAAATTATTTGTTAATTATTTAGAATAACTGAATTTTATTTTGTCATAGGCCTCTTTGTACAACTTTTTGATCTCAACATGTGGGAAATGCAAGAATTCCAGTCTTGCTGTTCAGGTATCTCTCTCATGTGCTTGTAGAGATATTTGATCTGTTTAATTTTAATATTCTTTTAGTAGCTAAAAATTGGTATTTCTATTTTATCTTTCATGTAAGATTCTGGAAGAAATGAAGAGATACGATGTGAAGCCAAATGGACAAACTTATGTTTGTCTTATCAATGCATGTGCGGCAGCTGGACGATTGGATCAAGTGTATGCTAAAATATCTTTGTTGCAACTTTCTGTTTTTAAGTTCAATGACTGTGCTTGGATTCTGTGATCCATGGAATGATTGTTTCTTGGGTTATGCTGTACTATGGTTAGAATGCTTTTCATTTCACAAAACAACTGTATGTTCTTACTGACTGACGAGGAAGTTTCTTCGATTTTATAATAATTAAGCTAATCTGCATGTAAATGTTTTAGGCTAGCAATAGTGCGTGATATGACTGCTGCTGGTGGTGAATTGAACAAGTTCTGCTATGCTGGACTTATAATTGCTCATACGAACATGATACCTCGATCACATGATGTAGCAGCCAAGGTATTTTTTTTTTAAATTCTATATTTTGACTAGTGTTTCATTCATTCATTCATTATTTATTTGTTTTTGTAGTTTTCTGATATTTCTCTCGCCTCTCTAGATTATTGAGTTAGCTGAGCAGTCGAAAGGATGGTCATCTGTTGAAGAAAGTGGAAATACTGGAAATACAATGCTTGGCATTTCTGAGGAAGAGTTGTACAACTTACCTACTGCAGACTTTGTTCATAGGCGTTTTTTCATATTCAGGCCGCTTACTGTGTCCCATGTTGTTTTGCAAATTCCGGTTACTTGGTTTCTGCTGTAAAATCTAGCTACGTCATGTCCTTTGAGGTATATATTCACGCATCAAGTTTTTAATTGACCTTAAACAGTTTTCAAGTTTTCTTACTTGGCTGGTATCTGTAGTCCCCCCATCAACTAGTTTTCAATGCCCCTTTTTAATCTTTTCATAAACCACAAAGCACTCTGATTTCACCAGTTTTGTTTTTCCAAAGCATGTTTTGTGTACCACATAACTTTTTTTCTGTTAATATTTTATTCATATATTTATCCATTGTCATGGTAGGCTACCGAGACTTTACTCGAGATGCTAAAAAACGATGGTAAAAATCCAGACATCTTTATTACCATGCAAATTTTGAGGTATACATTTGTCTTTGATTTGACAATTTTAATTGAAAACGGCTCTTGGGCTTTTGATAATTTTTCCTTTTTTATCATGTGTTTCTATTTTTGCCCCTTATTAGATGCTATCTGAATGCTGGAAACATCGACCGTGCTGTTCAAATTTTCGAGGACTACCTTAACGAAGGAAAACCCCCTGCTATGGAACTTTATGCAGTAAGTTTAATCATTATTTGCTAAGATGTTTTTCTTGTTGATCTTTTAGTTTTCTCCACGCTGTCTGAATGACTGCATTTGTTTCTTTTTTCTCTATCATGGAAAAACTCAATAATTAATTAATGTTTAACATATCATTTATTTGTATAGTATATCTGAAGTCCATTTTATTTACGGCAATAGAGATAATATGGAACACCTGTCTCTATTTATTTTTCACTTTGTACAGCTAGCTTGCTCGTTATTACTATGTTTTATTGTCATAAGTGGCCTTATCCTATGTTACTTGGTTCTGTGTGTGAGTTTTGGACGAGTTATGTCCGGAACAGGTATCTTTGAACTTTTCCAAGTGCTTTAATGTATTTAGAGGGTCCTTGGGAGGTCATATCTCCATACACGTCTGAAAATGTGTTAGAAACTGGTGTCGGATGTGAATATTTCAAGAAAAAATGAAGAGTTGGAACAACATAGAAGATGCCTATCTGCTTGATAACAGGACTGATGTTTTTGTATGATTAATGGTATGCAGTTCAATCCAGGTGAAGTGGGATAATTATTAAGTTACTGCAATTTCTTTGTTTGCAGACCTTCATCGAAGGAGCAATGGTTGGGCATACTCCTAGAGGAATGGAACTTGCTCAAGAAGCATTGGTATGCATGATGCACCTTAGTTCACTCGTTAACTTTCGGATATCCTGATTTTTTTGGTCATGTTAAACCCTATGGTTTTTTTTTGGCTCAAATGTGCAGGTCAATATGACTAAAGGAAACTTTTTCTTGAACGCTAAATTTGGAAGTGATCTCCTCCTTGCAGCCGCAGGAGAGAAGGTAAGCAAATACTTAAGCTGCTAGACATTTTCAGGACTGTCATCGTTTCAATATGCATAACTTGTTATGTTTTTTCGACAGACGGGTGGATACACAAACGCAAACTATATATGGGACCTAATGCAGGCTCGTAATGTAGTTCCCTCTCTTGCTGCAGTGGAAGCTTATTACAATGGCCTTAAAGTAAGCGATTCATTTAGTAGTTCGGTTAAACTGCTCAACAATGTAAATTTAATATTTATTTTGTCCAACATTGTAGGAACGCGAGATACCCGAAGATGATCCGAGATTGCAAATTGTTACTCGAACATTAAACAACTTGCGATCTAGATTTGGTATCGGACCTGGGCGACGGTAATAGATTCTGGATCATAATCAAGGGAGAACATGCTTTTTACGTTAACCAATGGTTCATTGTTGAAAGTCATGAGCGATAGTTTTTATCTGCACAACTGAAGCTTTTTTTTTATTATTGAATAAAAACTAGTAATGGGTATGTTTGGAGATTGGTTTTTATATAATATTTTATTATTTGTGGTTAATATGTAGTATTTGTCAGTTTAAAGGCAGATTTTGTTATTATGCCTTTATTTTTAAGGATAGTCTACCAACTCATGGATTTATTTTAGAATCTAAATTCAATTTATTTGGAAAATTATGGAATTGATTCCTTCCAAATATATTATTTAAATTTATATAGTAATTATACTTTTAGTTTCGTCTTCATCCTGAATCTTTTACATCTTATGCTATTATGTTAGAAGTTACAGTAGGTGTTATATTTCAACTTCAAATTCAATCTTTTTGATAGTAATAATAATAAAAAACAAAGCATCCATCCACCATGATCAGACTCGAGAGTTGACTGAATTGAGTTTAAATAGCCATTAGCATTCTTGGGACGCATCAAACATACATGTTACCGTACAAATGACAAGAATATTTATATATAAAAAAAGGGTTAGTAATTCTATATATTCACTTTCCTTGCCAAGGATATATATTGGAAGCAACGTGATTGTGATGACACAAGTAAATTGGACACATGGATCAAATACAACACAGGTTTACACGATTGTTTCCGTTTATGTCAACCACAGCACCCACTGCTCTGCGAGACCGCTCCATCTCTTGCACCAGATGGACCTTGGGCACGTCCGTAGCCGATCTTGATGCCCGATGACTGCAGAAATTTCAAACAAAATGCACTTTTATGTAAGAAAACATACTCGTCTGTCGATTAATGAAGATGGTTCTAGGTTTGAACTGCATTTAACAAGCCTGTCAATCCTCCCGTACAGAAAGTCGAACAAGCTAAACCATTTCTGACTCCAAAATTTTATAGCTATTCTCGAGATGTTTCGTGTCTAGCATGGCAAATAGAGAAAGAAACATCAAGATTTAAGAGAATGTGTCTTCAGTTCCAGACACCCCTCGGATGCAGCCAGGGGAGGGTATATGAATCTCTGGTTCTAGACATCGGACGAAGCCAGAGTTGGATGAAGAGGTGTCATGCTCCCTCCCGCTTTCAAGATCATTAATGCATATATAAGTCTATGGATTGCACGTTCAATTTATAGTATTTATCTGGTTTATCTTCAGCTATTCATTATTTATATTAAACAGAGTAATACTATATAAGCTCTGAAATTATTTCGACGTCGTATCATCCTCACATTTGTTTTTCTCGATATGATATAAGTAATCATTATTAGAAAATTTTAATAAATATATATATCTCAAGTGGAATATTCTTGTCTATTTTATTATGAATTTTATTTTCACTTAAACAAAGCAGCTTGATTATTACCTCATTGGATGCATCGAAGACTCCATCCTGAATGTTCTGAAGGATCTTTGCAGCAGTCTTTATGAAGGCCTAGAAGATGATTCGGAAATTTAATTAGAACTGTTCATTATGCCATGTCATTCTGACATTCATTTTCCTTAAACTACATGAACCAAAACTCGTGTATCCGACATGTTTGACATCGTACGGGAGTATGATTTTCAAAATATACGGAAGAACTTCGAAATTTGAGCATACCTGTGACGTACATACCCATGTCCGACATTCATTCTCGAGCCCAAGTAAAATAATAGCGCTAGATAAACAATATGATGTACCACTTAGGGAGGGAAATACATACCTCCTCAACATTTTGAGCTGTTCTAGCAGATGCTTCCAAGAACAAAAGGCCATTCTCCTTTGCAAACTGTTCGCCCTCTTCTTTGCTAACAGCCCTCCTGTGAGAAAGATCACTTTTGTTCCCAACGAGCATGATTGTCATGTTTGGATTTGCATGCTGCCGTGCATCCTCCAACCAACTTGCTAGATGATTAAATGTCTCTCTCCTGCTCAAGAACAACATTTGCAGTTCAGCATAAAATTAAAATGTTCCGGAAAAAAAACAAACCAGTCTTAGCCATTTAGCCAAGAGGGCAAAACAAGTAGCTAAAATCAAAGGTTAAGAAAAGATCTTGAAACAGACGATACAGACGCAAGCACTCATCCACAACCGTTATTTAAGCATGCTCGTACATCACAGCCTTGTTTTAACTGTTTCACTAATCTCCAACAGCTCGCAAATAACAGCATATAATTCTGAACAGAGAAAATTTTGTCTCTTACCTGGTTATATCATAGACCAGAAGAGCTCCTGCTGCTCCTCTATAGTAAGACCGGGTGATGGACCTGAAGGATTCTTGCCCAGCCTAAAATACAAACACACATAAGAGGGGACTCGAATCCATCAATTAAATGAACAATGATAAAAGAAAAGATCACACAAACAACAAAACACCTCTAACTGAGATAACTAACCCAGGCCAGGAGAATTATTACATTACTGGGATTCAGGCATTCAGCGTGTTTAGATGACAACAAGCTCGGCAAAAAGAGCTCATGGCGAGTTACAAAAACCTTGTTTGAACTTGGTTCAGCTTACTTAACAAATACCAAATATATGACCGAAAATGTAATTTCATATAAAAAGAATTCTACTCCAAAATTAATCCATAATTATCTTCCTTGGTCCTCCTGACCCTAAATTTTTCTACAGCCAAAATTCATTACTTAATACCCCCAATGGAAGACATCAAAATCAAGATTTTTACTGAATCTAGAACCTTTAGGGTCCCTGTTTTGGCTCCTAAACCTCAATTATTCGTTTGCCACAGCTAAAAAAAACTTCAAATTTTAATACCCTTTTCACCAAACAACCCAACAACGTAAAACAATAAGGGGGAAATAAAAAAGTTAGGATTTTTACAGTATCCCAAATCTGAAGCTTGACGGGTCTGCTATCAATGGTAACCATCCGAGCTCCGAATTCAACACCGATGGTTAGATCATGAACCGGTTGGAATCTCTTGTCGGTAAACTGCAAAAGCAAACATGATTTTCCTACACCTGCAACACAAGTCAAATCAAAAAAAAATGAAAGCTTTAGTAAATAACATTAGAAAAAAATTGGGAAATTTGAACCAGAGAATTAAGGTACCAGTGTCACCGATGATTATGTACTTGAAGAGATAATCGTAAGACATGGTTTTCTACGTCGTCGTGTTGAAGGTTCTTGTTGCGCCTGTCTGGAATTCTATTTCTGAGAAGAAAAGAGAGGAAGTAACGTAGAAGGAAGAAACGAGAATCAGTTTCCTCTGTGGTTGCTTTTGTTTGTGTGTTGGTTTTGGTTGATATTCACAGGCTTTTATTTATTTATTACTATAAATTCCTTTTTACATGGATGAGGGTATTTAGCAGCTACATTCCATTCCAATTTTGTAGATTTTGAGTAAATAATTGACTGGTAAAAGTTTAGAAATTGTCTATAAATCATTTTTTAAATAAATTTTTGGTACTAAAATTTTAGAAACGGTAAACTATAAATTTAATCACTTAACTTTTTTTACTCTTATTTTAGTCATTAAAGATTAATTTTTTTTAATTTATTTATTAAACTTTCAATTTATCTACTACATATAGCCACTCCTGGTACTAGCCAGGCACATATTCGGATCCTAATGCTCGCTGGTCACGCACTCATCCGGGCCGACCGCGCCTGTAACATCCCAAAAGTCGGGCCAGTGACTAAAATATAAATTTTGGGAAACTTTGTGCTCAATTTTGAAATAAGTTAAAAGTTTTGGGATTTAAGTAAAGAATTTTGATGATGGATTAAATAGCATAGATGGATAATTAAAGGGGCAATTTAGTCTTTTCAGCTTAAAGGATATTTTGTGTTTCCTTTAAATAAGAGTGGTACACGTGGGTTTTGGGAGATTTCTGGAAGCTTTCTTCTTACTCTCTTCTTCTTCTCGTAGCTCCAGCTTAAAGGTAAGTTTGATTTTTAACTGTTAATTTCTGGAATTTATAAGTTGGTTTTGAATCTTTGGGTATTAAATAAGCTTAAGGAAAGCTTATATGGGATTTAAACAATAAGATAAAGGAATTATGAAGGAATTTGCAATATGAGTTTTAAGATGAAATTTTGATATGGTATGGTTGTTGAAGTTTTATGGATGAATTTGACTTGTCATCAATCTAATTAAGAAGTATGAAGTGTTAGAATTGGAATTAGAACATATTGAAATTTTAGTATGATTTTTGAATTTCATATGAATGATAGGATTTTGAAGTCATAGAGGATTTTCATGGATATAAGTTAGTTTAAGTAATGGTATTTGAGTTTAATGACATGGTAGGGGTTTAAAATAGAAGAATTGAAGGAAAAATTGATGATTTTCGAGCTTAAAATACAATTTCTGGGTAGAGGGAACCGATACCCTATGAATGGGAATCGATTCCCCCTCTTGAACAAAAAATTCCAGTATGTTCAAGGGGTATCGATTCCCCTGGGGGTATCGATTCCCCCCTAAATGAAAATATAGAATTTGATTCATTAAACCGGTTTAAGTTATTAACATCAAGTTTAAAGTTTAGGCTTCTGATAGTTGTTTTGAAATGATATATTTATGTAGATATTGAGCCTAAACAAGTTCCGGAATAATCAAAGGATTATAATCGAATCAAAGTAAGGCTAAGGTGAGTGCAATTTAATTTGTACTTATATTATTGAATAAACATTGGCTTGCGATGAGCTAGTTATGGAGTTACTATGGTAAGAAGTAACTCCTAAAATGTGATTTGATTGGTAATTTATGTGATAATTTGTGTGATTATGGGATATGTGTTAAAAGACAATGATCTAAATGACTACATGAATCATGTGGTATAAGTTATGTGATTACATGTATGTATTAATACATATTGCTTGCATTACATGTTAATGTGATTATGAATAGGTAGAAAGGAAACAAATGATGATATAAGAATCTATTATAAGATATATGATATGAAAATAAGATAGTGAGCTATGTGAAAGAACTATGAGCTTATATGAATATGTGATATGAATGAAGCTATATGATACGATCTATGTGATTATATGCACATATGATATATGTTATATGAAATGACATATGAATAGGCAATACGTGATA